GGCCGGGCGCCCCGGGAGCCCTCGGCCGCCACGGACCCCCGACCCCGGCCCCCCGGCGTGCGGCCGCACCCCTCCGCCCCNGGGGAGCGGGAGCGCGCGGCGGGAGGCCCTGGGGCCGGGCCGGGCCGCTGGCGGAGGCCGGCCTCTCCCGCCCCGCCCCGGGGACTGTGTCCGGGCCGCGGCCTCCTTGGACTCAGTTTCCCAGTCTTGTCCGGCGAGCCTGCACTTTTCGGCCCAGTCCGGCCCCGACCTTGTTAACAGGGCCGGCTTTCTGCTTCCCTCCGGCGGGAGCAGGGCTGGAGTGTGGGTTAGTCTGACTTTTAGAATATGCCCCAAGCTGGGAAGCTGGGGGCTCCGGGGCCACGGTGGGCCTAACAGACCCAGTCCAAGGCCCGTGCCTAGCGCAGGCCCCTTGGGTGGGGGTGGGGGGCGTGCAGGAGGCTGGCTGGAAGGTGGGCAGTCATCTGTCTGTGGGCTGAAGGCTTGCTTGGGTCTGGCCCTGGGCCAAGCCCTGGAGTGACATGGGGTCCGAGCCCTCATCCCTGGCGGGGGTCTTCCAGAAGCACCCCTCCCCAGAAGGAACACACAGACATCTGGCAGCTACAAAAGTGAATAGGGAGCTCACGTGGGGACCAAGAGAAAAGAGGGCCACAGGGCCCAGGGGACGGGCATCATTCAGTACACCTGGCCTGGAGGGATTCCCCCCCCCACCCGAGTCGGTACAGACACCCAGAGGGGGTGCAAGAGGGCGGGCTCCAGAAAAGGGCTGTGACAGCTTGAGGCAGCCCGGCGTCCTCCCTGATGTCCCTGGGGATCCCGGGCACTCGTAGGGCGCTGGGGGCCAGTGAAGGGGCCAGCAAGACACTGCAGACAACCCCCCACCGACCCCTCCCTGGGCCCTGCGGAGCACAGGCTCTTCCAACAGCTGCCGCTCCCCCACCCCCAGGCCTCCGAGTCAACTGCAATCCCTTCGCTTAAGGAAGACTTGTGGGCTACCTTCCTGGTGTTGGTGTGTATTTGGGGAGGAGGAAGACATTTTTGTTCTTCCTCCAGAATCAGAGTCTTAGCCTGGTTGGGAGGGGTGGGGTATAGACACTTCATCTGGGTCAGGGTAGAAGCAGCTGAGCACCCAGGACAGTGTCCACAGCTGACCCTGGGGCTCCGTCCCTTCCTCTTGGGGCTGAAAGAGAAGGACCAGGGACACTTGCTCCTCCGACAGAGGACGCAAACCTCTGGGCTTCTACCCTCGACACCCCCACCCTCCCGCCCCAGCCAGCTGTCCCAGCGCTGAATGTCCACCCCCAGGCCCCCGTCTGTAGGGGCCAGGGGAAAGACCTGACCAGTCTGGGCTGCTGGGGCGCCTGACAAGCACTTGCCCCCAAACCCTCCCCTTGAGCCCCCTCTGAGACCATCCCCCTGGCCCCCACCCACCATTCCCCTAGGAGGGCTTTCCTCTGCACCCACCCCCATCCTGGGTTGGCAACGCCAAGGAGAAGGCAGGGAAGCCCTGGTGGCCTCGAGGGGGGCACTGGGGGCCCGGGAGGGCGCCCTCTCCTGGGTCCTGTGGTGACCCGCAGCCATCCTCGCCATCAGAAGACAGACAGCGCCTTGGCCAGGAGTGTCTCCGCGGTGGTCAGGCCTCCTCGGCCTGGTCCATGTCCAGGCGGTAACCCCAGTCTTCCCTGCAGCATAGCTGGGAGCCGGCCCTGTGGCCAGAGTCTCTGTGGGCAGGCCCAGCGCCCTCTGGCCTCCGGAGGGCAGGCAGAGCCCCTCTCCTCTAGGACACCTCCTGCCCGTCCCCCCACCAAGCTGAATGCCACTGCCCTGGCTGAGACTGGGCCCACTCAGGAGCCCCTGAGGCAGATGTTGGCCACAAAAGCTGCTGTACCAGCCTCCGGGGAGGGTGGCCACCTGCCCGTCATAGAGCCAAGGGTCCTGCGGCCCTGTCACCTCCTGCAGCTGCCGGCCCTCAGGCAGGACTCAGGGGCCCGAGGCCCGGGCTGCCTGGTCTCCGCAGCAGCTGCAGGGCGGGGCCTCGAGGCAGCTCCCAGGCCAGATGGCTGCCTGGCTGGCTGAGTCCAGCAACGTTCGGCCCCTGCCGTTGCGACAGCCTCCTGCCACCCCTGTGCCTCAGGCCTCACCGGCCACAGTGGGGACCCACAGGCCAGGCCCGCTGGCTGCTGCGTGCCCTCTCAGGTGGCCTGGGACGGCCCCTCCCAGGCCCGAAGGAGGCAGTAACCCCAGGAAGACTGGAGACCTTCGGACCAGGAAAACACAGGGGCCTCTCTCCCTGTCCCCTCCCCTGAGCGATGTCCGTCCTCCCTTAGCCACTCCTACCCAGCACACCCCCAGCCTCTCGCTGGCCGCGTCCCCTGCTGCTGCGTGGACCCCATTCCGTGCCCCACGACCTCCGTCAGGGCCCCAAGGAGCCCTTTGTCCCACCAGCCAGGCAGGGCAGGCCAGGACACTCTGCCCACCCCAGGGCCTCCTCTCCCGGCTGGCTGGGGGGCTGTGTGCCCGGCCTGGGCAGGTGAGCACGTCAGAGCAGTCAGAATTAGGATGCGGGCACCTGTGGACACTGGACAGACGCCTCCGCCCTGCTTTCACTCAAGAGTCACGACTACCCCCCGCCCTGTGCCACGCCAAGTCTCAGCGGCAAAGGCCCAGTGGAGAGCCTGGCGTGGCAAGGTCACGTGACACGGGAGCTCCTTGGAGAAGGCGAAGGCCCCAAGAGGAGATCGTGGGATTGGGGACATCTGAGTGGGAGCGATCAAGAAGGCCCACTCCCGGGGGGGGGGGGGGTGCTGCTGGAGCAGAGACAGGACTGGGGAGGAGCGGGAAGGGTTCTTGGGGAGACGTGTGTGGAACCTGAGGACTCACGAAAGGCCTCAGGGCCTGGCCATATGCCGGGCCCTCCAGTTAATCTCCCTCTTTTGCATGTGAGAATATTAAGGTCTGAAGAGGTTAAGGGTCATGCCCAAGGTTGGAAGGGGATAGAGGCAGGACTCTGAGCAAGACCCCAAGAAGTGGTCCCCTCTGGTCCACTCTGACCTAACTTGAAATCAGCTACCCACACTGGGGTGACGGAGGGGCGTGGAAGTGAAGGAAGGGGCTGACCTCCTCAGGAAGGGGTCCCCAGAGTGCCTGGGCCCTGGGAGCCAGGGTGGTCTCGCTGACTCTGAGCGCAGTGCAAGTCCAGGGTGCCAAGCCAAAGACTGCCAAATTTAGGAAATAAAAATGCAAGCTGCCTGGTGAAATCTGAATTTCAGATAAACAGGGAATCGATTTCAGTATAAGAATGTGTCTTTCCTTCCTCCACACTTTAGGTCCTAACTGCGCTGGGCCCCAGGGCCTCTGGTCACTCTTCAGGGCCCCAGCCCACCAGAGTTTAAATAGGGTCTCTGGAGCTCCACCACCCCATCTCACAGTCAGGAACCCCCCTCCCAGGGGTCCTGGCCACCCAAGAGCATGGCTAGGGGGCTCCCCACCTCGCCTTTCTGCCCCTTTGCCCTTGTATACCTGGCCGGCTGGGGTCCCGCCTTTGTAATCCAGCACTCCCCATCACCACCCCCACTTCTAGTCAAGGCCTCCTTTCTCCTCCTGCGCCGAGCCCCACCCCTGCCCACCCTCTATCTCCCGGGGCTCTGGGCTGACAGACTTGGATCCTGGTTCAACCACTGACTGCCTGCTGTGTGGCCCTGGCGCCTTCCGAACCAAAACCAGTGTGATAGCGAGAGTGCCTCGCTGAGCCAGCGGGGCTGCTGGGACACTGAGCAGTGGTCCACAGCGCCTGCATCCTCCTCTGCAAAGGCCGCTGGGAAGATTGCCAGCCAACAGTCACCCCACCTGGGGGTCCCAGCCTCTCCAAGTTCATTGCTCTTTGTTTTTCTCAGGCTCCTTCCTTAACCCAGGACCTAGGTGTCCCCCCACACCTTCACGTGGTGGCCTTGCACCTGAAAGGCCAACCCAGCTCCTTCAAGGTGTCATCTCTCCCAGAACACTCCCCCCTCACCTCTCCCAGCCCCTGGCCCGGCTCTGGGCTTTGGGTGCAGTTCCCTCTCTATCACCGCGATGGTCCCCTCACCCCGTCACGCCTTCTGGGACCGGCATGGTCCCCAAGGCTCACAGCTCACAGCTCCGCGCACCTGGCTCCCAGCAGAGGCTGCGCTGGGTCCGCTGAGAGGATGGAGAGTGCCCAGTTTTGGAACATCAAGGTCGAGAACCCGCCCAAGCGTCTGGAAAAGGGGCCCAGCTAAATTAAATTCAAAACGAGGCTTTCAACGAAACGGGGTGTCATCTTCTCAATATGTACGACTCCCCCCGCCCCCTCCTCCATCCCAGGGCGGGCGTCCCGCGAGGTGGCCGCGCTTCCCGGCTGCGCCTTCGGGAGACTGGCGCCGGCCCTGGTTGGGAGAGGAGCTGGTCCTCGGAAGGGGTCTCTTAACAGACGGACGCAGTTGGGACCCCATGGGGGGGACCCCGAGGATGAAGAGGCAAGTATCGCGAGAGAGCCCCCTCCCCCGCCGCGTCCCGCGTCCCCTCCCACCCCAGCGCCCCAGATGGCGGCGCGCGGGGCCCGGCCGGGCGGGGCGGACAGGGAAGGGGCGGCGTGGGTGACCTCAGCGGTTCCGCCGCTCCGGGAAGTCGCCTCGGCCCGCCCCCTCCAGCCCCCGCCCCGAGTTTCGCTCTCTCCGGGGCGGGGCAAGCGGTGAGTGCTGCCGGGCCAGCCAAGTTAGAGCGCGCCCCGCCCGGCGCCCTCCCCGTCCCTGCGCCCTCCCCGCCGGGGCGCGCTGCCCGCAGCTCCGCACGCGCCGGGGCGGCACCGGGGAGGGCGCGCGGCGCGGGCAGCGGCCGGAGAGGAGCTCGGGGCGGCGGAGGTGAGCGCGGGGGGCGGGCGCCCGGCATTGCCCGCNGGCGGCTGGGGGGGCGAGTGGCGGCCGCGGCGTCTCCAGGCGCGCTCACGGGCGTCCCGTTTGTGCCCAGGTGATGACCGCGGCGGCATGGAGTTCCCGGAGCACGGCGGGCGGCTTCTGGGCCGCCTGAGGCAGCAGCGCGAGCTGGGCTTCCTGTGCGACTGTACGGTGCTGGTGGGCGAGGCGCGCTTCCCGGCCCACCGCGCCGTGCTGGCCGCGTGCAGCGTCTACTTCCATCTCTTCTACAGGGACCGGCCCGCGGGCAGCCGCGACACGGTGCGGCTCAACGGCGACATCGTTACGGCGCCTGCCTTCGGCCGTCTGCTGGACTTCATGTACGAGGGCCGCCTGGACCTGCGCAGCCTGCCCGTCGAGGACGTCCTGGCCGCCGCCAGCTACCTGCATATGTACGACATCGTCAAGGTCTGCAAGAACAGGCTCCGCGAGAAGGAGCGCGCGCTGCCCCCGGAGACGCCCGCCTCTGGGGTAGAGCTGCCGGGCCGGCCCCCGGGCCCTCCGTCTGCCTGGACCCCCGCGCCCACTCCAGCCTCTCTGAAGGCCAGGCTCCCTCCCGCTGGGCCAAAGGCCACCCGCCCTCCGACCGCACCGGGACCTCCCCCCTGGCAGGCGCCTGGAGAGTCAGACCGGGCCCTGGACCTGTCGCTGAAGCCCGGCCCGAAGAGGCCTCCCGTCTGCCCACCCTGCGTCCTCCAGACCGCCCCCTGCCGCCAGAAGCAGCCCGGGACCCAGCCAGTGGTGAAGGAGGAGCCAGACTCGGAGTCCGAGCCGGAGGAGGGCTGCAGCAGCCCTCGGAGCGCCCACAGCCCCCTGCGGCCCCCCGGTGTTCCCGCGGCGGAGCCCCTGGCCGGGGGCTTGGGGCTGCTACGCACCTCAGCGCCCACTTCCGCGAGCGGGACGGCGGCCGCGCGCGCCTCTCGCCCGACGGGGCGGCGCCCACATGCCCGCTCTGCAGGAAGACCTTCTCCTGCACGTACACGCTGAAGAGGCACGAGCGCACGCACTCGGGCGAGAAGCCCTACACGTGCGTGCAGTGCGGCAAGAGCTTCCAGTACTCCCACAACCTGAGCCGCCACGCCGTGGTGCACACGCGCGAGAAGCCGCACGCCTGCCGCTGGTGCGCGCGCCGCTTCACGCAGTCGGGGGACCTCTATCGCCACGTGCGCAAGTTCCACTGCGGCCTGGTCAAGTCCCTGCTGCTGTGAGGCCCGCCGGAGGGGCCGGGAGTTCAGCGGGAGAAGCCCCCAGGGCTGGGCCAGCCCGGCGGAAGGAACCCTGCTGCCCCGGGAAAATGGCCCCAGATGGCCGGACCGGGGGCCTCCCGGGCAGCCCTCCTCCAGCCTTGGCCCTCTGCACCATTTCACTCTTGTCCCTGGACCTGCCCTGACCAGACACCGAACTCCTCCGTCCCCTCCAGCCTGTCCCAGGGAGTGTCCGAAGGGTCTGAAGGGCCCGGGCTCCCCAGCGAGAGGAGGCCAGCTGACCCTCCTCCCAGGCTTCCCTGACCGCCCCACGGGCAGGCTCAGGGGCACCCTGTGAGCTTGGCACTGCGCTCAGTGAAGGACGCCCGCTCACAGATGCTGTCAGTGTGAGTCCCAACGGGAGCGCGGACAGAACAGGCCACTCCTGGCAGGTGGCAGCAGGAACCCCTGCGGGGCACCCCGGGCACAGTGAGCGCCAGCAGGGCCCTCAGGGCACAGCTGGCATCCCAGGGGCACGGCCCCAGCAGGAGCCCTGGTGGCAGCAGCAGAACCAGCTGGGAGCAGGGGCTGCGGAGTTGCGGGAGCTGGGGAGGGAGGCAGGCCCTCCAGAGCTCCAGTCTTGCCCACACCGCAGCGCAGGGCAGAGAGTGGGGTTTGGAAACGTTTCTCTAGATACAGAAGGAGCCTCTGGAGGTTGCCAGATGCTGGCGCGTGGTCGCTGGGCCATGCTGCTCCCCTGCCCAAGGACAGGGAGCAGTGCGCCTCCTGGCCTCCCCGGGGGGCACCGAGGGGCGCCGGGAACGCAGCCACCCGCCTGGCGTATTCCTGGTCAGTGGTAGGCCTGACCCTGAAGGTCATTTGTCCACCTGATCATGGTCTCCCTGGAGCTGCTGGTAATTGCCAGAGTGCTGGGGGGGGTGGGGGGGTGGCGGTGGCCCGAAGGCTGCAGTTTGGATCAGAGCCAGGTGGGCAGGGCTTCCTTTTCCTACGGGGGTCTGGATGAAAGCAAGCATTGCTGGGGCGGGGTGGGGGGAGGGCAGGTGGTCTCCAGGCAGTGGTCACAGGACCCCCCCCACACCGCTTGCAGAGGCTGATGCTCCTAAAAGGCAAAAGGCTGCTGCATTTGTGCTTGGTGGGGGCCCTCCGCCTCATCTGCCTGCTCCCTGGCCAGGTCTCGCTGCTGGATCCCAAGGCGGTGGGTAGAGGTGGGGCCGCCCCAGGTTCTGGAGGTCCTGAAGGCGGCAGAGCCGCCCGGACTCCTGGTTTCCCCAGAGCTCGGGCTCTTTCTGCTGTGACCGTAAGTGGTGCTGAGGTCCGAGTTCAAGTTTAAATTATTGCTCGGCTCCTGACAACACTTGATGTCGTTATTTATTTGTCTGCCTGTTCTGGAGTGAGGAGACCATTGGCCTTTGCAGCAGGTAGATGGGGGGGGGGGCGTCCCCCTGCAGGCCCTCAGCCCGGTGTGTGGGCAGCTGGCCTGTGGACCAGAGAGAACCAGGGGAAGGGGACCCCACTTCTGATTGTCCTGGCTCCCAGGCCTGCACCTCTCAAAGAGCTGGTTGGACTGCACACGTGGGTGATATGCTCCATGATCGGATTTCCATGCGTGAGTGTGTGTGTGCGTGCATGTGTGTGTGTGTGTGTGTGTGAGAGAGAGAGAGAGTCTGCCTGTGTGGGCATCTGTGTCCAGCAAAGGCAGGGCCCGAGTCAGACCAGCACCCGAGCCCCTGCCCCAGCAGGCAGCGAGGAGATGAAGCCTCAGCCTTGGATTTCCCCCCGGGGTTTCCACTGGGGAAGAAATTTATTTTCCCGGGGCAGGAAGCCTGTCCTGAGTTATCAACACTGGATTCATTGTTTTCTGCAAACAGTTACTGTGAAGTTAATGTAGAGAGAAGTGGTCAGTTTTATGTTTAACAACTGACACAGTTCAGATAAAAAAAAAATATATATATATATATATACACACACACACACACATATATTTAAGACACTAACCGTTTGGGATCGTGTCGCAGGGGCGTGTGTAGATAGACCCCTTACTGGGGGTGCCTCCTCTGTGGGACCCTCCTGGATGGCCCAGCCTCCCGCCCCTTGGGCGCCGCTGCCCCTGGGTGGGGGTCCTCCGTGCCCGGAGGACAGTTGTTGGCGCTCAGCGTTTTGCGGGAGGACTTGCTGGCATGCGCCCGCCTGCTGTGACGGTCTGGAAATCAGTGCTGTCTTCCCCTTTGCACGTCATCATCTCAGTGATTGGTAATAAAGCCCACCCCAGGTGGAGCAGGCCATGCTTATTCCTGGGGACACCAGTGCGTGTGGGAACTGGAAGTGCCGCTGGTCTTCGGGGGGACCCACCCGGGTGGGCAGTGGGCACGCCGGGAGCCCTGTCCCAGAGGCCACCTGCTGTGTCTCCTGGGTGCAGTGGGCTGCAGCAGGCTGTGTACAAGTGATGGATCCTCATTCTCCAGATTGGTTACCTCGCCCCCACCCCAAATCCTGGGGAGTAGGATGCGGGTTGGGGCCTGCTGAGACAGCTCGTGGCCTCTTGCCTGGTGTAGGGGCGCTTTCTGAGGCCCCCAGCTCTCTGGTTCTGGGTCTTGTCCCCCTGCTCCAGAGGAAGTCCCATCCCCTGCCCCCCCTCACCCTGTGCCTCTCCCCTCCCTCCACACCCCATTTGTACACCCCTGCCTCCCCCTGGGCGGGATGAACACTCACAAGAGGTGAGCAAGGCTGGGCAGGGGTCTCGTGCCCGCCACCCCCACCCCCACCCCATGGCGCCCAGCTTGATCTTGGGACGGCTGAGTGGGACCTGATCTGGCGGGTGGCTGGACAGGCTTGGCTGCTGGGGGCTCTAGGACCCATGAGCCAGCTCCAGCTGATGGCAGGGCCGACTGGCAGTCTGCATGGGCATTCCAGCCCCCTCCCCTGACAGGGGCCTGAGCCTCCTCGCCGGGCTGGGGCAGATGGCCGTAAGTGTGTCTCTGGCCGTAGCACCCACCAGGAAGAGCTGAGACAGACCCTGGAGGGGGTGGGGCTGGGAGCCCGCGTTTGCTGAGAGGACCCCGGAGGGTGCCCCAGGATGAACTGGTACCGGAAGGGCTGCTGGTTCCTGGGCCTTCGAGTCTGGACCCTAGTCGCACAGCGTCCTTGCTTCTGGGAGGTGGCACCTGCACCCAGCCTGCCTCTTAAGGAGCCTTCCTCCTGGACCAGGGCCACTGTCCTGCAGGGGGGCCCTTCCCTGTTCCCGGCTGGGCCTGTGACTCAGCCCAGGCCTTCTCAGAACCCAAAGGAGGCTGTTGCCGTGCCAACCCGGGCAGGGCAGGGGGGCAGTCAGAAGGTACCTGCGGGGCAGCTGACCAGGATGGGCTTCCGGGACCCCTCCCGCCAGCCTGGCTCTGCCCAGCCGTGCTCACACTCTGACCCCCACACCACAAGCCTAAGGCACATGGAGGGGCCTGGCTGGCCTGCAGTCCCAGAGCCAGTGGGTGGCAGACCCAGGCCCTCCTACAAAGCTCGCCTGCTGCCACCCCGCTGGTGCTGGGCACAGCCCCTCCCCCTGGCGCAGTGCCTCTGGAGGCAGTGCCGAGGGGAGGACTCAGGGGAGAGAGGGCTCCACAACCACAGCAGGGGAACACTCAGGGTTGGGGTGCACGGCACGGGTGCCCCAGGCCGCGGCCGCCCTGCGGAGGTGGCAGAGTGAGGGGCCATGTGCCAACGGGTGCAGACGTGCGGCGCCCAGGGCACCCCGGGGAAGCTGCCGGCTTTGAGGCAGGGAGCGCCCAGGGCAGATCTGGCCAGCCTCGGGCCCCCCTCCCCAGCTTCCTCTGCCCCCTGCCCCGGACTCAGCGAGCTGCCCACACCACCCCCCCCAACCCCGCCCCTGGCCTCGCTGCTCCCAGCACTCGTGTCCACCGGTCGGTGAGGTTCACCTTCAGATCCTCGGGACAGACACACAGGCTTCTGACCCACCAGCTCCATCCCCACCTTCCAGCCTGGAGGAGGAGGGGGGTGCCCAGTGGTCCAGCCTCTGCCCGGTCCCCTGGCCCGCCACTGCTCACCCTTCTCCACAGCCCCAACCCCGCCCGGCCACGGTCTCTACCGTCGTCACGGCGCCTCCCTTCCACACCCCCCTCTCCACATCCAGTCACCTCCACCCACCCTTGAGGCGGGGCCCCGTGGGGCCCCCCAGGACCCCCCATTGAGGCCAGTTTCCAAGCGGAGGGCCTGGAGCTGAGCAGCCTCAAGCCAAGGAGAGGCAGAGACAGTGCAGCCCTCCCGGCGGCGCGGCACGCGAGGTCCATCCAGGGCCTTCTCCGCCCGCCGCCTCCCCCACCTGCTCGGAAGGGCAGGCGTTTGTGCCCTCCCCACCCGGCCGGCCACCTGGCCTCCCAGCACCTGCCCCCAGGTCCCGTCCTCTCCTGTCTCTGAGCCCTCACAGGGGAACAAGGCACTGTGGCAGACAGCTGCTAAGGGGAGCCCAGGCACGGCCAGCAGGCATGCCGGCAGCACTGCTGCTGACGATGCCGACCGGGAGGACGGCGCAGGGCTTGGCCCCAGTGCTCCCTGGGGCAGGGGAGCCGGTCCTCACAGTGCTGGCCATGGCGAGGGGAGTGGGACCCGCCGGCAGTTGGAGAGGCATCGCCGTCGGGTCCCAGGCCTCCTGGGCCACCATCCTCCCCGGCCTGCCTTCTCCGTCCTGCAGCTGCCCCTGCCCAGCCCCCGGGGGCTCCAGAGGGTGGGAGGTGGTGGGCAAGCCCCAGCAGCGCGGAGGAGTCCAAGGACAGCCGGTTGCAGGGCCAGGGCCCAGCGGGGGCAGTTCAGAAAGGAAGCTGGTTGCGCTGACTCGTCCAGGCGCCCCAGCCCAGCTCCAGCTAGGTCAGCAGGTAGCCCCTTGGGGAAGTCCGGCTCTGGGGCAGCCGGAGCTCGCCCCGTGGGTTGGGATTCAAATGGGTTTGTTTTCACCAGTTGGAACAGAAATCGGTGTACAGAGAAAGCCCATTTCCTTTCCT